GCGACAGTACAGTTCAAAGCATAGCCTCGAACACTTTTTCCGTGAACTTTCAAGACATCGACTGCTTTATAACAGGATACAAAAATCCTCCTTTGCTATCGTTGGTTTTTATCTATCTAATGTCATTACATTGACAGCTAATCGATATAAAATAAAATATGCTAGCAAGCGCCGTCTGCCGTTTAAAACGTGAAACGGACAACATTTCCGATGTTAAAATTTTTGACATTTCAACTTCACATCGAGATATCTTCCTTCGTAGGGTACGTAGACAATAAAAACATATTTATAATATAATTTAAACACTAAAACTAAATTACGGATATATAAAAGTTGATAAATTCAGCCATTTATTGTGAGATCCGATAATCTCGGGTACACGGAACTCATCGACTCGCGTAAAGATACACGTGCGGTCTCGCGCTTTGCGTTCACTTGGCGCGAGACACTACCGTGTCTCTTGATTTTGGATTTTGCGTTTTTTCCATTTTGCAGGAGTATTTTGCATTTCTCGCTGAAAATGATAATAACCAAATTTGTAGAGAATTAAATTCTCTATCTTTTTTATCTGAACAATTGTAAAATGATTATTTATTGCTAATAATGAGCAAAAAGTGTCAAAAATTAGGACATTGACCCAGTTTTTTCAATTTTTGGATCATTTTTATTAAAAATAAGTGACATATTCAAATGTCATAGTTGTAGAGGACTAAATTCCCTACAACTTTTGTAGAAACAAGTTTTTCGTACGACGTATGAATCACGGCCGGTAACATGCTCGACATAGCAGCATAGGGGAAGACGGTCAACTCAGGCGTGGGGGAACTCGCGGGTACCTGGGATCGGGACAATAGAAGAAAGGTAGGCCTTGTGAACAGCTGTTAGTTGTTATTAGCTGTCTTTATTAGTTGTTTTTTGATGTTTTTTTTTTAGTTGTTTCTATTTGTTGTTTATGAGTTGAGTCGCTTTTCCGCCATGCCTCTGTGTTCAGCATGTTCCCGGGCGTAATCCATGCGTCGTACGAAAAACTTGCTTCTACAAAAGTTGTAGGGAATTTAGTCCTCTACAACTTTGCCATTTGAATATGTCACTTATTTTTAATAAAAATGGTCCAAAAATTGAAAAAACTGGGTCAATGTCCTAATTTTTGACACTTTTTGCGCATTATTAGCAATAAATAATCATTTTACAACAAAATTGTTGAAATAAAAAAGATAGAGAATTTAATTCTCTACAAATTTGGTTATTACCATTTTCAGCGAAAAATGCAAAATACGCCTGCAAAATGAAAAAAACGCAAAATCCAAAATTCCGTATAGACGCCATATCAAATTTTGGTATCAAACTGTGGTTTTATATTCTATTCCATCTTTGGAACCTAACTGCGTCAAAAAATTATGTACTCAAATTAACTTTGTCGAAACTCCTACATTGATCAGGCTAGGCACAGTGATTTCAATTTTGTACGAACAATTGAAAAAGCTATCGGCAAGATGGGTGACGCGTAGGTTTGCTCACTGTGGACCATAAGCGCGACCGTGTGACGATTTCAAAACAATGTTTGGAGATGTTTCAACGGAATCCAGATGAATTTTTGCGTTGATTCATTACTATGGACGAAACATGGATCCATTACTTCACATCCAAGACGAAGGAACAGTAAAAACAATGGACTTCACCGGATGAACCAGCTCCAAAGAAGGCGAAGACCATGAAGTCGGCCGGAAAGGTGATGGCCACTGCAGGCTATCATTGGGATGCATTCAATTCATATCGATTATCTTTCGTCGAAGCAAACCATCAATGGCGATTACCATGCAGCCTTATTGGACCGTTTCAACATTTTAAAGAAACATTTTAAAGAAAAAAACGTCCCCATCTGGCGAAGAAGAAAATCCTCTTCCATCAAGACAATGCACGGGTTCACACGTGCCCGACACCCATGACCAAATTCAATGAATTCCGCTACGAATTGTTTCCCATTCAGCATATTCGCCAGAT